ATGCTTGCAACATGTCAAGGGAATTCGCATAATCGTTATATTAATCAAATGTGAATTTTTCTTGAAGGCTTTTTAGCAGGTTTGTTAAAGTAATCTCGTATTTAATAGATTGCTAGCGTGCGTTAATTTGTAATTTAGTTGAGAGCTTTGAAACCTTCGCTAAGACAACTTAGTTACTTGCAGCAAACAACCTTGCTTTTGATGAAAAGCTTTTAAGAAAAAAGAAACATCAGTCCAGCCATTATGAATACCTCGACGTCTTCACGTCTTTTACATTGTGGGAGGGAGGCTGGTATTCTCAGACCTATATTGCACTTTTATAAATCTACCATTTCTACATGAATTGAATATTTCTGCCATGTCGGGTCTGGTGCTTCTACTGTATATTTCAAGATTCTTGACAAAATTCAATGAAGTGTCTGTAATGTAATCGACTCTACCTTGGTATTTCGACATCAGTCATATTCTCGCTGACATAATGTGGCTTCCCTCTGTCTTTTCTATAAATATTTTCCTGCCAACTGCTCTGATGAGTTTTTCTTCCCTAGTGCCATGACTACACGAATTTAAGTGTGCTATTAGATTGGCAACTAGGTCTCACCGTTTTACTGTTGAACTAACTATATGAAACCGCAACAGTTTATCAGCCGTGGAGTTCCATTCCGATTTCTTACTTCCCTGTCAACTACAATCTTAAAAAAAAATTTAAATGCTACACCAATTGCCATTTTCTGTCTTCTTGAACCCTGTTCCTTTATTGTTCTTACCTCACTCCTCCGCACTAAAATCTTCTCAATCTATTTCACTCCCTGTAACCATCTGCGTCCTTGTGTCATTATCACGTAGCTTGGGGTGAAACGATAAAAAAATTTTGGCTCCATGGGGTTTTTAGCTATTTTTTCCTAAAGCTGAAATGGTTTTTAAAAGGAAAATGCCAGATCATGGACGAGATTAGTGTGCACGATGTGGCAGCTGATGGCGATCCGGAAAGTAGATAGTAGTAATATAAAATATTTTGAAACAATAAAAGGGGCGCCATGATCTATGCAGAGTACTATAAACTGAAGAAAGACGCTTTTGCCCTAGGTAGGCTACATTTTCGTTAATAATAAAGAGACGGGTCGAATTACTTCATGAGAACGGAATAAATACATTTTTCTAAGAGAGTCCATCAAATAAAGGGTGTTTCATTAAGACGGATTATATATAAGGGTATTTTATTAAGAAGGATCAAAATCAGCAGAAAATAAATCAGTGTTAATGGTGAAAATTTATTTATTTCTCTATTGGATCATATTATTTAAGTCATGGCAATTATGTGTGAAAAATAATATTGCCCAAATGTCCGTGAAGTCTGAACGAAAAAGAAAAACGTTTTAGACGCTTAAACTTAATTGACATTTAAAATTGGTCTAAGTTATTGTAACAGCCTCTATATACAACTGAATTCTTTACGTGTTATTTTATGTTGTTTTTTATGAAAAATAATAGTTTGATACAGTATTCATTATTTCTGGCATTTTATGACATTATAACTTGTTTTTACACCATTTCACGTTTTTTTTTGGTTTTATCATAATAATCTGAGTTTTCATTATCATTATATTATCTATAGCTATGCATGCTGACAGTGTGGTGATGACGCAACATCACCAGATGGACGACTTCCTCGACTGAAGTCAACGGCGACGATGAAAGTTTGTCGCGATTGTCTCCCACTTGTCAGTGACCAAAGCGAGCTTTCAAGCTGGTACGGCGAACTTAATTGGTGAAACCAGTTAAAACTGGCCTTGTTCAAAATTTTAGCCTTAATACTGTTAGGAAAGTCATGGACACGCTTCTTCCTGCGTTCCAAAAATAAGCAAAATTCCTAAGCGAAACATTTCGACGATGGCATGCAAAGGTCAATATTCAGGTCAGTAGGTCAGTGTGCCTATTAATAAAACTATTCTTCCTTAATTGGACATTGGTAATCCTTATATAAATCCAGAGACCTCACTGCCAAAAGCATTGCAAAAATAATAATAATAATAATAATAATAATAATAATAATAATAATAATAATTATTATTATTATTCTGATCATTACTATTCATTTTTAAACAAGATCCTATTTTTATATTAAATAAGGAATTTTTTGAAAAATAATATATATATATATATATATATATATATATATATATATATATATATATATACTAAAAAAATTCTTTACATCATTATTATTAATATTGATATTTTTTAAAATACATCGTAGCTGAATACACGAACCAGACAAAAGACATTTTCGATTGTATACAAATTTTTCCAGTTCTCCAGCCATCCAACGAACTCCCTTTCTTCTTCTTCTTCTTCTTCTTCTTTGTATATTTCCTCTATTACCATCTGAGGGAGTCAGTTCCTTTTCGCAGTGTGCATCTGTGCATTAGTTCAACATGTCTACAAGCTCAACATATCTTTTTGAACAACTTAAATAAATTGGGAACAACACCGAACTGCGAGAATCTGTTTTATGCATACACGCAATTTTCAGGCCATGCTTTTAATCATGTTGCTTCTGGATATTTTACATTTACCCTCCCTATATCTACCTGGTATTTAACACTTTAGCTCATAAGTGTAACATAAGTTAAAAATTATATTTTATCATACATGCACACACGCACACCCACACAAACACGCATACACACACATACACACCTGGCCATATATATATATATATATATATATATATATATATATATATATATATATATATATATATATATATATATATATATAATATTAATGGAAAATATACATACATATGCAAAATATATATATATAAATACCCATATATGCATATTTTTAGAAAAAAAAATTTCCAAGAGGAAAAATCCAGGTAGCACTCAATGTCTAGGACAGAGTAAAGGATATAATAAAAAAGCTTAAACACTAATATTCAATGGTCATCAATTTATTCCATTGGAATCGTAAATACGATCAATTCATCAGACCTACAAATTCAAATGTTTTGAATTTGTAGGTCTGATGATTTGGATCGTATTTACGATTCCAATGGAATAAATTATGACTATGGAATATTAGTGTTTAAGTTTTTTATTATATATATATATATATATATATATATATATATATATATATATATATATATGTGTGTGTGTGTGTGTGTGTGTGTGTGTAAAGCTAGACACTGAGGAGAACATCGGCTGGAGACAGTCTGTTTTATCCTTGAACCTAATCTTCTATCCATATGTTGTTGTTACTCTGTGTCAACCTCGGTGTGACCTTTATATTTATATCCTGATATTGAGCACTTATTTTATTTTTATTTATATATATATATATATATATATATGTGTGTGTGTGTGTGTGTGTGTGTGTGTGTGTGTGTGTATCTTGTGATTTACAAAGGGATACTTGGTTGTGGCGCATGGCTGTACACACACGCACGCACGCACACACACACACACATATATATATATATATATATATATATATATATATATATATATATATATATATATCATGACTGCTTGTTAAACGAGCGTGATCATCGCTGACTTTTTAATGTAATTTGTTATTGTCGGTCATGAGACCGGCAGTAACTTTTCAAACCAAGTCACTGACATATTTTTACGCAGACACAGCAAACAAGATCTTCCGGCTGTGTCGGTTTTTGCGGCCCACCTCGAGGCGAGGTCCCCAATGCCCCTTCAGGTCTCTTGTGTGGCCACATCGTCTCTTGCCCACTTTTCCATGCACTTCACATATCAAATGATTGATGTCATGAAATCCTCCATCTTTTAAGAAGGCTCTTTCAGTCATGGTTAGCTCTGCGTTTGTCATGCAGAATTGCCCACAGTCTTGGCAGACAAAAGTCTGGATAGGTATTATTATCTTTTCGAGTTGTAATACTTGTTTTAGACCACGTATTAACATTGTCTTGAAAGTAACAACACCTATTCCACACCATTTTTCTCTAGCAACTTCTAACACATGCCACATTTTATGGTTAGGTTTGGTTTGGTTTAGTTTACGGCGCATCAACCTCAATGGGTTATTTAATGCCGACAATTTTAATACGCTTTGACAGGAAATTATGCTCTCAGTTATACTCAATAAAAAGAATACTACCTCTGGTAATTGTCCCTTAGTTCATGTCAAAGTAGTCTCACTTGAAACTCAAAATAAAACAGAATTTAAAAACGCCTCTTTCCGGATCGTCATCAACTGCCTCTTTGCATTCTTCTTAATTGTTTTTAAAGCGTTTTAACGGCTATCTTAGCTTTGGTAAAATCAAAATTCGCAAAGAGACGAATGTGAACTGTTACAGAAGAAAGAGTGCTTCTGACAGACGTGAATTCTGCGATGTTTTGACAAAAGAAATGACAAGAGAGAAGAAAATTACGGTCACAGCTGCATGTCCTCGGCTCAGAATTATGCTAGAGGACAATAGATGAGTTGATTAATGCTTTAGTTCGTGAAATTGGGGACAGAATAATTATGAGTTCAATCCCTAGGATGGGCAATACTAAATATGAATAATGACCTTGCATCCTGACTTCAATCACTTTGTAACCGATGTGGTTTCTGTAAATATTATCATGGTAATTGTTCTTTCCACCATCTTGCCTAGATGAATTTAAGCGTGCTACTAAACTTACAAGTAGGTTTTGTTGTTTTACTGTTGAACTAACCTAGATGCAGTCGTCTGTTTTATTCTGTTCAGTATCCATCATCCGAGATTCCCGAATTCGAAAACCTCAAAATTCCGAAAGTTTTTCAGGTGTGGACATGACTTGACACAAATGGGAAATTTCAGAAAACAACATGGCTACCCGTAGCATGATTATTGCGTTACGGCGTTACAAATAAAATACTGACTTTTTCCAGTTTTCATTACATTTAACTGTAATCAGAATCCATGTTTTCTTTTTTAAAAATACTGTATCTGTATTTATTGTAACATTTTCATCAAAACACGACATCGTTGGTAGATGGGGTCTGATAGCTTACCAAATTTTCCTTCTCTCACTCATAATGATATCAACGATGATGTACCCTCTCTCTCCAGTTTCTCACACTTGATGTAGAAGTAGATTTTAACGTTGCATATATATATATATATATATATATATATATATATATATATATATATAACTACGGGTTGAGTATCTATCCTTTATCGGAAATTCCAAAATCTGAAAGTTTTTCAGGTGCTGACATGACTTGCCACAAATGGAAAATTTCTAAAATCAACCCGTAATATGATTATTGCTTTACAGTATTATTAAATAAAATACTGACTTTTTCAGTTTTCATTACATTTAAACTTAATCAAAATTCATGATTTCTTTTTATACAAATACTCTACCTGTATATATTGTAACATTTTCATCAAAACATGACATCGTTGGTAGAGACTGATAGCTTACCAAATTATCCTTCTTTCACTCACAGTGATGTCATCGATGATGTACCCTCTCCCTAGAGTTTTTCACACCTGATGTAGAATTTCTGTTTGGTGTTGCATTTAAATATTTTTGTAAGTACTGATCATGTTTTTTTGTACATGTACAAAAAGTACAAAACATTATTTTTACGTGAAATCTTAATTTCATCACTTAAAAATCTGTGTGAACATTACATGACAAACGCCATTACCTGTATCGGTATATAGACAAAATTTATTAAATTTTATATAAAACTACTTTCAGATTATACGTTATATATATATAAAGCTACCTTCATTGTATATGTATGAGCTGTCTTATGAAATGTAAATGGATATCGTGTTTATGCTTGGGTTCCATTTCCAGGCTGTCCCATTTTATAGATGCTATATACAAATTAAATAGCCTGTATTCCAAAATCCGAAAATAATCCGGAAACTAAAGAACTTCCGGTCGCAAGAATTTCGGATAAAAGATTCTCAACCGGTAGTTTTTTTTCTCGTAATTCATCTCGAGATTTATTGTGGCTTCTCGCACTTCTTCTCTGTGAAACTCCCTTCCGATTTCTTGCTTCCCTGTCAACTACAGTCTTTAAAAATTTTAAATGCATCGCCAATCGCTATTTTCTGTCTTCCCTGTTCCACTGATTGTCTTTTCTCTTTACTAAAGGCTTCTTATTTTCGTTTACTTCCTGTAACCCCTAGCGTGTTTGTGGTATTATAGCCTTGCTTGGGGTGAAATGATTAAGATAAAAAAAAAAAAAAGAAAAGAAAAAAAAGACGTGATATCCCTATATAAAGACACGGGAATATAGACTAAATAAAATGTTTTTTCGAAATTCACTGATCGATGATCTGAAGAAGTCTGAGAGTACATCGGCCGAAAGGTTTTGATATTAACGACAAAGATCAGGATGTTAGTCCGAATATAAATAATGTAAACAATCTGGTTTTATTTAGAAAGTATCTGGGCACTGACAAGTAACTTCATCCCCCCACCCCCAACCCTGAGATGCCCTGAAGGACGCTGCTTGGCACTATTACAATAATCTCTCACCGGCGCCTGTTGCTTAACTGACACGATATAAATGCGTATCTAGCACTGATAGCGAAACAAGTTGCTTTTAGTTCAAACAGCCCTTGGCCAAATCTCGCAACTTCATTTTTATTAATTTAATACTAAATATCACTGACTCACATTAGCAAATTACTTACAGATCGGGTCACATTCATTTAAAATGTAAAACGTTTTCTTTGAATAATTTTTTTAATTGCAAAAGCTTTGATGAAGGACTCAAAAGTAATTTATCTAAAAGTATCTTCCTTTGCCCTCAATACAGAGGAGAAAAAAAACGGCCTTATTTTACTTTAAGTTTTCACTGAATAACTAATTAAATAGAATGATTTGTATTATAATATGTCTTTCTTACTCCATCGAGCTCCGTGGAAACTGTGATTTCAATCCCTAGAACCAAGTAGAACGATACATCATATTCGAATGGCATTGCGACTGACTAGCGAGTTTCATCCTCACTGGGTGCCTCACACTTTCGGATTTGTGCCACATATAAGAAAATCATCTGGGCATTACGACGTGGTGTAAGGGTTAGCAAACTTGTATCGCTAGGTCCATTACGACTGAAGACTTAGTTCGATCCTCACTGGGTGCCCCCTAATTTCGGCCTTGTACCATATGTAGCTAAGCTTAGAAAATCATTTGGGTCACCTCAAAGTGGTGTAATGATTAGCAAGCTTGTCTCGCTAGAACAATTACGACTGAGTAATGAGTTCGTTCCTCACTGGGTGCCCCATATTTTCGGCTTTGTACCACAAATTAGCTACGTTTAGAAAAACATTTGGAGGGACCTCGACGTGATGTAATCGTTAGCAAGCGTGTCTCACTAGAAGAATTACGACTGAGTAATAAGTTCGAGCCTCACTGGGGCCGCACATTTTCGGTCTTGTGACACATCTAATCTACACCAAGAAAATCATTTAGAGCACTTTTACGTGGGGTAATGGTTAGTATGCTTATTGCGCTACAACAATTACGATTGAATAGAGAGTTCGATGGGTGCTCCATACTTTCGGCCTTGTGCCACACCTAAGCTATGCTTAGAAAGTCAACATATTGGAATGGTATATCAGCACCAAACTAAAACTGAAAGTGACGAAACCTTAAAAATTTCTTAAAATGGCCCCAAATTCATCAAGGACTTGGAAAGTTTAATAACTTTTTTGTTTACTAACGTTTTTTTGTTTTTTTTCGGGCATTTTATAAAGAGAGCTTTGGAAATTAATCCTGTAAAAATACACGGCTGAAAAATTTACCCAAATAGTGGAATCTTTCTACTAAAACCAAAGATCAATAATTTAAAATCAATAAGCATATCGTCGCCATTACGGTGTGAGAGATACTCCAGGTTTTGAGAGTAAAGGTTCAATAATTGAACCCCATTTGATTAGTAAAGAAGTATTTGAGCGAATAGAAGACAGTAACAAAGAAGATCCAAGTGCATTAACTCGAAGGCGGTCTCGACAGGTTTGGATCTCTCGGGCGTCACCTCAACGGATTTTTATGAGGCAAAAGCTCATAAGACAAGGACCGTAATCCAGCTTAGTCAGGCAGATTTTAGGGAAACGAGCAATTTCTAACGGTTGCAGCATAAACTGGTCACCACTTTCCCTGGATCTGACCATCCCTGAGTTCTTATTTATGCGTCTATCCCAAAGAAAAAGATAACGCGAAAGAACCTCAGACTCTCCAACGACAACATTCAGACAGACATCAAAGCTCAAGAGCCTGAAACAGTGACGGCTGTGATGGAAAATGACTTAGAAGGGGGATGTATGTGTGAAACTGAAAATGGACGCCACTTAAAAGATTTAATCTTTTTCAACTTTATTTCCCATATCTACTCCATATAATACTATGGTATTTGAATTAAAGTTAAAAAATAAAGGAGTTATTAAATTTTGAAATCACTTGCTGACTTTTGGAACACCCTATATATACAAAGATATTTAAATTTGGTATAATTAGGTAGAAATTGTTTTAATTAGGTTTTATGAAAAAAGATAGACGTTTGAGTTTATTCATTGTCTTTTCTAACCTGTTGCCCTTCTTCTAGACTAGTTGCCAGTCAAGGGCCTTGTTTGCCCCGGTATTTGATGCAAAACTCGTAGGCAGAAGAGATGGTTTCATGCCTTCCCAAGTATATTCATGCGAAATTGAATGTAATGAAAACTCGGCTAAGATTCGAACTCGGTCAACCAGTAATCGTAAGGCGATACACACATCGTCATATCATTTCCTCCATCTTATCGAACGCTGTTGGTAGTCACAGAATCATTGTATTTCTATGATCCTTTCGTTAACTGTAATCCTCGGCAGGACTAAATACGGTTTTAAATTCAGAATTTTCCTTCCTCTAGACTGGTTTCCAGTCAAGGGTGGGAAGGGCCCTGTTTGCCCTACTACTTGATGCAAAGCCCGTCGGGAGACGAGATTGCTTCCATACCTTTATATTCGAAAATAAATGTTACGAAAACTCGGCTAAGATTCGAACTCGGCCTGCCAATTTTTCATTCTAAGCCGTTATCTATTACACCAACGGCACCAATGACTTAGTATAATATTAATAGACATGAATAATAATAATAAAAAAACCTGTATTTGGTATAAAGTTGCTGAAATGCGTTGGCTCTTTTTTTTTTACCAACTGCATAAATACGTAAAAAAAAATGCCCCTTCTTTAAGAGGATTGATAATGAGGTTTAAACAAGGTTTTTATCAAGATGAATTTAAAAAAATACGCAGTATAAGATATTCAGAGCCATGTTTGACAGAAACGCTCTTTTGACCACTTCATATTAATTAGAATGTGAGATCTTCTTTTGCATCTTTTCCGTTTCCGCCATCTTTTTTTTTTCTATTTGTGTAAAATGTGTGGAAAATTCTAGAATTTCATTAATCCACTTCCTTATCGGTCGCTAACTTTTTTTCTTCTTTGTAGCACTCCGTCGTCATAGCTTATCAATAATTAGCCAACCATCTGATCCATCATGATGGCAAAGGGTGTCATGTCCGATCGGATGCAATCATTCTTCCAGTAAACTGTTTCTCCTCTCATCCCCAATCTCTACACCTTCTACTTTTGAAAAAAAAAAGTCATTAAATTATGAATCAAACAAATGAGTTCGCGTCAGTTGTGCAAGTGAATGCTGTCGGTCGCAGATCTGGTTGATTTTTTTCAATCAATCCCCAAATTCCTGTTGATGCCATTTTTTTTAAAATGAAAAGTGTTGCTGGCTATAACTTTACGAAGAAAACTTTGATGACAATACGGAAGAGGAAATATGAACTTCCAATCTTCTCGAGAGCTAATTATTTATTTCCAATCCAAACAGTATACTCACTGCTATAGATTACTGGCATGCGTAAAGAGGCAACTTTTTACAATAATCTTTACACTGTACAATGACCAAGAGTCACTCAGGGCAGAGGTTAAAGAGTAAGAGGTAAGGGACAAAGTTTATGAGGATAGGTAGTGCAGATACCTGTTAACTTAGATTTGAACAGGTTAAGACTGCAAGGATCGGGGAAGCATCCTCTTGGGAGTTGGTTCCACAAAGCA